AGTATTCAAAATTCAGGTAATCAGGTAAAATTAAATTTATCTTTTATATTTCATTTTCTCATTAATAAAAAACTTCATTATTATTAAAGCTAATTTTCATTCATTTTGCACTTTCAAAATTTATTTTTGCTTCATCAATGACAATTCATTAAAAGTCATTAAGGTTAAAAGAAAAAAAAATCTCCTAAAAAATTTTGTGAAAAAAAAGAAAATGCTTCATTCATAGTTGCATATGAGATCAAAGAACAACGAAGTTAAAGTTTAATAAAATGCAAATGACAGATGGAAAATATCCATTTGCACTTATCTATTCTATTATCATTTCCTTTTTTTCTATTGATTGCTTAATGTTTGAATGTTTCGAAATAAATTAAACAAATTTGTTTCGTAACATTTCGTAATATTTTAAAAAACAAAAAATTGTTTTACTAATTTGATTAATTAAAAAAGTTTTGTGAAATGTTTGCGTAATAAAATGATGATAACATGTTAGGAATTATTTAGTTGACAATTGATTAGTTGACAATTCCCTTAAAAAGTAATCGATAAATAAGCAAATTAAAGCAAAAAAAAAGAAAACCAATTAAAGTATTTTTGACAAATCAGTAAATAATTTAATAAGTCAATTTTAACAATCCATTTTTTCTCGACCAATTGTAAAAGTGACCATTATTAAGTAAACATGTAATTAAGTAAGTTAAATGATTAAGTGAATATTTTTATCAATAAACTCTATCTGTATACCTTATCAATCCAAATGTATCCATTTGAATATCATTTGTGCAAATATGATAAGAAATTAATTCGACTTCTTCATGATGTTGATAAATTAATTTAGTAAATTTTATGAAAAAGATAGCAATGAATTTAAATCTTTATTTGTAAAAAAAAAAAAAATTATACAGTAAACTATCAATTTATGTGGAAAATTTTGTCAAATGATGAATTATATATGTTTGCTACTCCAATTGTCCACTTATTAATTGCTAATAATCCAATTGTCCAGTTATTGATTGCTGATAACTACTGGTCATTTATACAATTTTAATCTTCATCTCATTTTATTTATGCGCAATAAATAAGGAAAAATTTATGAAACAGCAAATAGCATTGATTAATTAAGCTAATAATGAAGAATTTAATAAACTAATTAAGTGTATATTTGTCAAGCAAATTAATCATTTCATTATTTATTTGTTAATTAAAGAAATATATTTTTTTGCATATTTTATTGAATTAATTAATGAAAAATTAATTTTAGATAAAATTAATGCAAAAATATATCAAGAAATTACAAATATTTTGAAAATATTTTATGATTTTAAAAATATAATGCATTACAATATTCAAGCAACAATAAATTTCATCATAATTTTCGTCTTTCTTTTTTCCTTTTTGTCTTATCACAATCTTCGCCTCGTTTTTTCTTTATCTTATCAAATACATTGATTTTTATCACTGATATTATCAGTATAATGACAAAATTAAATTGAAATTTTTAAATTTACTTGATAGATTTTGATATATTTTTGCAATTTTTTCTTCTTTTGCTAAAATTAGCTTTTTTTTTTAAAAGGATCTTATTAATTACAGTAATTTTTATCACTAATTTCAGTATGATGAAAAAATTGAATTAAAATTTTTGAATTTTACCCGATTTATTTTAATATGTTTTTGTTTCCCGGTTGTTTTTTTTTTTTGTATTTTTTTATTCTAAAATTAAATCTTCAGTAATTAATTTCATAATTAAACAACTCGTCGTTTTCTACTTCCAATTTTTTTTCAATTGAAATGAATTAAAATCTTGCTATTTTTTTCAATTATTTACAAATTATGAAATTTATTAAATTCTTTAAAAAAAAATAGATAATTTATGTAAAATAAATAATTTATGCATGGAATTTTTCTTTTTTTTCTACAAAAAGAAAAAAAATTTGAATAATTCAAAAATTTTTTTAAAATTTTTAAGAATTTTATAGAAATAAAAGTATTGCAAAAAGACATGTTTAGCAAATGAGAAACTAAAATGGTTTAATTTAAATGAAACGTCTGTTCAAATTTAACTGTTCCGAAAAAAAGGAAAAAGCAAAGAAATGAAATGAAGCAATTTTGCGCTCGAAATAACAATTTGATGACAGTTAAAATATGACAGTTGCTATTTGCTAAATCTTTAAAAAATTTACCAACAAAATTTACCGAAAAAAAAAAGAAACATCAAAGACAAAACAGTATACCGCATTATTTAAATGTAACAATTGTAATAGTTAAAATTATTGTAATAGTACTAATCGTACGCTAAGATGAGATGAAATTAATGATTGTAATTGATGAAAGTTTTAAAGTTAAAAAAAAAAAAAAGCGGTAAAACAAGAAGATTGTTGTTGAATTGCTAATTGTTAACAAAAAGGAAAAACGAAATCATTTAGCAAGTGAATTTTTTTTTTTTCAACCTAAATTAACATTTGTAATTTTTTAAAAAATTAACATTTGTAATTTTTGAATTAAATTAAATTAACATTTGTAA